TCATGCTGTAGGCAAAGAGGAAGCCCACGTTGTAGCGCACTTCCCGCAGCAGGGACACAGTCTGCTGGTGATCTTCTTCTGTCTCCCCACAGAAACCAGCAATGAAATCGCTGCTTAAAATCACTCCTGTCACAGAGATGCAGATTTACACTTCGCTCAGGGAAGACAGGAACACTTCATTCAAGAAAGGTCAGCAAGATACAGCTGTGCTGAGCTCAGGTCAAGCTACAGGGAGTCCCTACCTGGGATGGTGCTGCGCACATGCTGTACAAGCTCTAAATATGCTTCTCTTGTGTATCTGAGATGAGCAACACAGGGATTTGTCGATCAGAAAACTCTGAGATTGGTGAGGAGAGAGCAGCACCATAAAGCAGGCAGCAGGGCACAGGGCTCCCCATGGCCATCGCTCACCCCCGCCGCATGGCTTCCAGGACCCGAGTGCTTCCACTCTGGGCTGGGAGGTGAAGTTGTTTGCAGATGTTGTGCCGCTCCTGGATAAGCTGCAGGACCTGTGAGGTGTATTCAGGCACGTTCAGGACACAATATCACAGGTAGCTCAGCTCTACAGGAATGCTAAAGAAAAGAGTCTTCCCCAGATAAAAGACAGCAGATGGAAAAACTGCCAGCATTGGCACACACATTCCCCTTCCTAAGCTCCTATCCTGTGATTCTTTGTTACCTCCGGGAAGGAAGCACAACCCACCTCTAACATTTCACAGCTGTCTGCCTGTAAGATAGAGGCCCAGGTGTTTATTTCATACTTGCCTCATCAGGAAAATCCTTGGGGTGTGGAGAAGTGAAACGAATCCTCATTTCTGGATCAATTCTAGAGACCTGGTCTAGAAGATGTGCAAAACGCAAGCCTCCTGGTTTAGCTTTGTAGACAGTGCTAAAGCCACGGCTGAGGACTGGGGCAGCAGCTGAGTGAAACTGCACCTCAGACATGTCTCGAAAGCTGTTGACATTCTGACCCAAAAGGGTCACTTCTTTCACCCCCTACAAAGGTAAACAGAGAGAAAAGAAAAAATGATGGTCCAAACAGGATGGCTAAGCTGCAATGGCAGCCATGGCTCCACTCTTACTTCAAGAGAAGACTCCAAGGGGAACCTTCTCTTCCCTGTGTGTCTCAGAATATTACAAGGGGAACGAAACAGCAACTGGTGGAACCTCAAAGCAATCTCATTCCAGAGATGAAGGCTGTGCCATCGGTCAAAGCTACCACTGAACATTCACTGAGAACCCGCACAGCATTTGGGACAGGTGGAAGCAGGCTCTGCCCCACCTGATCTGAGAGTATCTTCACTTCCTGCAGGATGGACGCGACGGGGCGGCTCCTCTCTCGGCCACGTGTGAAGGGCACAATGCAGTAGCTGCACATGTTGTCACAGCCCCGCATGATGGATCTGCCGGGAGGTGAAGCACAGGTCACACTGTGATCACTCTGCAAGAATCATCCGTGCTCAGTCCTGCTCTGCTTTGCCCTGTTCCAGCACTGCTGCCATCAGCCAATTCACTTGTGTGCAGCACACACAGCTCTGAACACACACTGCAGCTTTCTCTCACGCATCATTCCAATCAGAGCTGACTTCTGCTCGCCCCCAGCTAACACTTCAGAATTTTCCATGCACATTTCCAAACAAGTAACCCAGAAAGCAACTGATCTGACACAGACTTGCACTGCAGTCTGGCAGTGAGGCAGGATCCTTCTGCGCTCTGCACCTGCACAGGGTGAAACCTATTTCTCTGTGCGCTAAGGTCACACCTAGCAGAATCTGACTTCATTACTTAGGAATCTTAGTATAAAATCTGAACAAAAAGAAATAAAACCAACAAAAATTACAGCGCATGGAGGATTAGAAAAAAGGAGACGGCAAAAGGAAGGGGATGACAGAAGGCACAGACTTGACAGGCACAGACATCAGTGGGACAGAAATCACTTGCTGCAGCACCGTGCTTAAACAAGCAGCATTCTCAGAGGACAGCAAGAGAAGCCTGCAGCCAGCCAGAGCACGGGTCAGTCTCTCCAGCACTCACTCAGACAGCAAGAAGACAGCAAACACAGTCTGGTAGGCTGGTGCCTCTGGGCTGGGGGAGTGAGTGCAGCCAGGCTTTGCCTCTCTCGGTAGCTGCTGTCACTGACACGACTGCTCAGCACAACAATATTTCCAAACCAGAATGACAGAAATACACACAGAAAAAAAGGTACTTACACAAATGCTGTTTTGCCACCTGCGCTAGTCTGGACAGGCAGAATATCTGCATAAGTCTCATCTAGTGATAACAGGACATTAGCAGCTTGCTGCCCAGATTCAGCCACGGCCAGCAGCCGGGGAAGGTCCCGATACGCATCAGGGCCCGCCACAATATCGACCAGCTTCTCCCTATGAAGAATCTCCTCCTTAAGCCTCTCAGCCATGCATCCTGCCACCAAAGGAGAAAGATTCTCGTGAGCAAGCGTCCACCTTCAGTGAGCACACTGCACCCTTTCCCTAGCTGCTCTCTCCCAGCAGAAAAGGCTGGACTCTAGCAGAAGGAAGAGGAAACGCAGCATGATGGCATACGGCACAACAGCCTGCGCTCCCTGCCGCATCCCACCTCATACCTAGGATCCCAATCCGCAGAGGCAAGCACGCCTGGCGCCGCCGGGCCTTCAGAGCCTTGAGGTGCTGCAGGCGGTTCCAGATAGCCTGCTCAGCCTTGTCCCTGGAAGCCAGAATGACAGGAGTTATTCCCATTACTGCACATTAACAGTTCTCCAACCCAGAGCTGCTTGAGAGCATCTACAGTGTAGAAATACCTCAGGGATTTTTGACAACTGAGATCACACAGAGGAAAAGTAGGACTTCACCAACAAATAGGAGCTACGTTGCAGGTGACAGTGCACAGAGAAAAACACAGTTCCCTATATATTTATATCCTGAATCAACCCCAAATGTGTTTCCCAACAGGACAGACCTTATACTCTTACTACAGTCACTTCAATAGGAGACCAAAACATAAAATCATACAAGCACAAATGTGTGTGGATCTCATGAAGCATATACATAGCACACACCACCAAAGAGCTTTTCTCACTATACTGTAATCTATTACACAATGCATGCTATATATTGTAACATCAACTAGCTCTACTCTAAACAAAATGTGCTGTTTGACATCTGTGTGCTGCTTTCATCATGTAATTCACTTTCTTGCCTTGGTTTTCAAATTGTAATTCCTTAAGAGCTACCAAAAAATAGCAGTGACAAAAGTTTCCTTACCTAACAGAACAGGTCACAAGTAGAATCACATCCGCCTAGATTGAAGATCACATAAAAGGAAGGAGAATTTGTAAAAGCCATTTGTAAAAAGCCTAATGCCCTGCACATATAACCTGAAGTACAACCTGAAGAGGCAGACTATAAAAATCACTTAACTCAAAGAAAAAAGATCTGCCTAAATGCTCAGTGGATTTCAAAGAACAAAGTCACAAGAAAACTCAGCAAAGCCTTCATCTGAATGGCAGAAGTAAACCCGAGATGAGTCAGGAGCATCCTGCTGTGCCCAATCTACTCTCCAACTGAGAGAACTCAGCGGTTTAAAGGAGCAAAAACAACCCACAGCCTTTCAGCACGCTTGTTAAGTAGCTTTCTCTCCTGCACAGAATTTAGACTGCAAAAATCCCACTGCCCTGTGTGACCATAACTCACAATAAAACCTGGGACCTGACCGCAGCGTGAAGCCCTCTCAGGCCTTCCTTACAGACAGCTGCCAAAGCGCCTCACCTCATCTGCTTTCTTTGTCCTGGTGTAGCCGCTCTTCTGCAGGATAGCCCAAGCAATCTCTGTGTCATTGACGTTCATCTGGCAGCCATAGGTCTCCAGGTACACTGCTACAAAGACACAGACGGGTTGATCCAACACTGCTGTGAATCTCTCTCATCTACAAGCTCTTTCGGTGACTTTTTCCACAGGAAGGAAGCATCAGCTCCACAAAAGAAGAGATTCAGGAAAGCTGTATAAGAAGTACATTCCCTGACGGGGAGAAAGAGCAAACCAAAAATACAGACAGGCTCTTAGTGGCACTTGGAAACCTGAGTGCCTCAAAGCACATCACTGCAATACTGCAGGCCTGGACTGCAGCTTGCAAAGCAGCAGTGAGTACTGCCACATGCGGGCACTGAAAGCCTCCTCTCCCCGGAGCTCGGCACAGCCCTGCTGGCAGCCAGGGCAGCAGGGAGAGACCGCAGGGAAACACAGCAGGGAGGAGGAGGCCGCCGGGCTGGGCTTTTCATGCTACCAGAACCACTCTGAGCCCAAACCCCCACAGCCCCGTGCTGCTTCGCCCGCGGGCACCGTGAGCTCCAGCAGCGCTCGTGGCTGGGCTAAGCTCGGCTGGGCCAATACAGGGGCACACCGACCTTTCCCGAGACCGGAGGTAGAGCCCCGCCCCTCCTCGGGCTCCTGCTCCGGCTCCCTGGCGGGCGGCGGCGCGGCGGCCCCTCTTAGGAAGTGCCTCAGGTCCGGCCCCGAGGGCAGCTTGGCCCTGCGTCCCTGAGGCCTTTCGCTCTGCCCACAGTGCGCTGCGCGGGAGGCCCCAGGACGGGCAGCGGCCCAGCGGAGGGACCCGGCCGCCCGCAGCGCGCGCCCCCAGACCCGCATGGCCGAACCCGGCGGGAAGGCCGCGCTAGGCCGCGTGAGCAGGCCGCGTTGCCATGGCGACGCCGCCCGGAGAGGGGCGCTTCCCGGGAGCGGCCCCGCGGTGCACCGCCCAAACGATTCCCCCGCCCAACGCACAACCCCGCCCTCGCGTTCCGCGCCGATGCCGTTCCGCCGGGCGGAGCCGGGTCCCTGCGGGCAGCCACGCGACGGGAAAAAATGAAAAGATGATTTTTTTTTTTCCATGGTGTTTTAACACGACGCGGGGGATAAAAATATCCCCCAAAGGCGCTCCCGGCCACCTCCCTTCCCTCGGGGAACGTGCTGGGAGGCAGCGAATAACAAACACCTCTGTCACACTGCTTGCTGGTTTCACCGCGGTGTGTTTATGTGAGGGCTCCGAGCGGGGGCTCCCCTGGGCTCTGGGACCCCCCTGGCCGAGCGCAGCACGACTCAATGACGGCAAAGCACAGGGAGAAAGTGAAGGGGCAGCCGGTCCAGGCTGTGGTCGGCCCCAGCAGCCGCTGTGCGGCTGTGGCTCGCTGGGACCTGGGGGATACATGGTCCCCCCCGGCTGTGACGGAGCCCTCAGCCCAGCCTGAGCCGTGGGGTTTGGCTTTGGCCCCCGCCCGCGCGTCTGCGGTCTGTGCTGGGCCGGCTGTGAGTCAGGCTTGGCAGGGCCGCTTGTTTTCTGTCTCAGCAGCAGGGATGGAGGGGGGAGCAGCTGAGGCTGCAGCCGAGGCTGGGAACCTAAGTGGGGGACGGGAACAGGGTCCCCCGGGAGGGACAGCGTGGGGCAGGCAGAGGAGCCGTCCTCATGGCGAGAGCCCCTTTCGTCATCGTTATCTGCGCTCCCGGGGCGTGTAGTGCACATCTGCTCCGAGCAGCAGGAAATTCTGGGAAAAACAGAAAGGAGGGGGTTGTGAGGCATCTTTGCAGCTGTTTTCAGCCCTGCTCCTCATCACCCGCCCGCTTTGTGCTGCTGCCATCTTCCGTGGCTAATTTTAGCTTCAGAAGGGCTCTGAAGATGTTTCACAGCTACACCCTGCCAGCAGCATCCAGCATCCAGCCCATGGCACTCCTCTGGGACCTCCCCAGGCCCTTCAAGGCATCAGATTCCTTCTGCTCCCAGGACTGGCTTTGTCCAGGGCCCGCACTACTCACCTGGTGAAACTGCACAAGGATATTGGAGAGCTGTATTCGGTCTGGCAGCGGCAGTGGGAAACCTTCAGCTAACCTCTCTGGAAAAGACAACAACAGGGCTATGTTAGGACTATGTTATGCAGGGAGCTTGGGGCTGTGCAAAACAGACAGATGTTTCCTCCAGCCCTTCCCTCTCCCTCCCAGTGCTGTGGGTAGGCAGAGTGGTTCCTCCAGGCTACACGGAGGTCTGGGGCTGCACGTTATTCTGTGCCGCCCCTTCCCAGACCCATGGCAGCCACCAGCCCTGCTCTGGGCTGATTTGCTCAGCAGTAACAAAAAGCAGTCAGTGGGGGAGAGGGTCTGGAAAGCATTAGGATGTGTGTCAAACTCATTTTTTCCATTGTGTTCACTTCTGAATGCACGTCACAGCACGGAAAGAGGCTCCTGCACTCAGCTACCCACAGCTCGCCTCTGCCAGCCCCAGACAAGCTGGGCACTTTGCTGCATCCTCCTCTTTCTGAAGGTTCTACCCACTGAGCAGGCCTGGCAACAGAGATTTAATTAACAAGCTGGGCCTGCTCAGACAGAGTGACATGGCTGGTGACTGTTCCCACAGCCCCATTCCTCCCAGCAGGTTATTACCATTAACACGTGGGAGCAGGATACTGGAGGCATATATATTCATTATTGACTGCAGCATTCGTACCTGGAGTTGCAGAGAGAGAAGAAAGGAAAAGAGCTTTAGCAAGTGACCAGACCCTGGAAGGCAATTAGGAGGAGGAAAACGAAGGAGCTTTGTGCTGTGCTGGTGGGGTGGGAAATGAACAAGGCAAGGGTGACTCTGCTTCTGTTCCCAGGCTGAGACAGAAGTACACTCCCAGGTCCCATGTTGGTGTGAGGGGAGGGATGAGCCGCCTCCACAGCCTCCACCAGGCTCCCTCCTCCATGCTGGGGGCTCTGATCATGGTCAGGAACAGCCTACCTGGAAAGTGCCAACATCGGAATGCTTCAGAGAGAGCTTCATCCTGCACAGAGAGACATGGTGCAGTGCAGGCTGCCCCAGGGAAGGAGGTGTCCCCTCCGTGCCCATGCCAGTCCTGCTTCCTCCAAAGCCCAGCTCTTTGCCTCCATCACAGGTTTCATCCCCAGCACATTCCCAACTCACTGCCCCCAGCCACCACTTAGCAGCAACTCCTCCTGGAGCTGCCCTGCTCCCAGCTCACCTGCCCACGTTCAGTTTCCCAACGATGTGGCCAGATTTCACATCAATGGTGGCGGACACGTTGCCTGTCTGGAGAGGGAGGCAGAGTTCAGTGCCCACCAACCTCATTCCAAAGCAGGCACAGGGGGAATTGTTCAGACTAGCCAAAATGCAGAGACCCGTGTGCACCCAGTGTGAAAACTCACATTTGTGATCTTAAAGGGCTACCCATCCAGGACTGGCACCCCCATACAGCCCAGGTCCCAACTCACCAAACTGAGGAGGAATAGATGGGCCAGGCTAGTGTTGGGAAGGATGGCATAAGCTTGGATGTCCACAACGGGCTGGAGTGAGATCCCACCTGGTGTGATGCTCAGGAATGGAGCAGAGGGAGCAGACAGCCTGAGCTTCATCAGCATGTTGGGGTACATCGTGTCCAGCTGCAAGGGAGCAGGGGGAGGGAAGGAACCATGGCACATGCATGGGAGCACGGAGCCTCCTGTAGCTCCTTCCTGTGCCACCAGCCCATGGGGATGCTGCACCCAGAGGGGTTGAGCAGCCCCCCCTCTGGTTTGCTCCTGCCCATGGGGAACCCAGGGCTGTGCTCTTGGGGAGCGTCTTGTGCAAAGCTTCTGCTGGGTAGAAGCTGGGGGACAGAACTGGGGCTCACCTGGGGAATGAAGGCCGCAAAGGTGGAGGTATTCAAATGGAATTCAACACCCTTTGGGATCTGTGGGAGGAGGATGGTCACTGCTGGGCAATGCAGCACAGGGCTGGGGCATGATCAGCCCCTCATGTGTGTGCTTCATGTGTGCATCTTGCGTGAGCACCGAGCACATCTCAGCCTTGCACTGTGCTTGCATGCAGCTCCACAGGGAAGAACAAAGGAGATGCAGAGGAGCCCTTGGATCCAGCCAGTCCCATCCCGCCTGCCCTCCTCACCATGGAGTCTGTGATCTCGAAGACCAGTGCCCCAGCTGCATGGTAGGCGAAGCCAGCAGTGTTGAAGAAGTAGCTGGAGGCCCCAAAGTAAACCATGCGGTCGTGGTCAGGAGGGAAGGCCAGCACTGGCGGGGGGAAGGGAACAGCACCACGATGTGCCAGGGAGAAGAATTCACCCTGGAAAGAGGAAGTGAGTGAAGAAGGAGCTGGGGGGTATTTGTGGCAGGCAGCTGAGCCCAGCATCCCACCTGCCTCCTGCATCAGCCACCTCGAGTCTGCCCAGGGCAGGCTCTCACCTTCAGGTCTACATCCAGGGTCTGCGCAGTGGCCATTGGTGGTGCCACCAAGGAGTAATCGATTCCAGCCTTGGCATCTATCTTAGCCGTGACTGCAAGACATGGGGCAGAGGGATGAGTGAAAGGCAGACGGCACAGCAGAGCCGGGAGCAGCTTGCCTCTGCTGACATCTGCGCAGTGCCGTGCCCTGGCTTTCCCGAGCAGCGGAGAGGCAGGGGTTTCGCACGCGTTTGCTTCTGTTTAGAAATAAAAGGGACATTTCCCTCCTCATTTCCAGCCACGCAAACTAGTTCCTGGCCTGGAGACACTGCCTGGGTCCCCTCACAGAGGCCAGGAAATGCTGGGAGGGAGCCCTCCCTGAGCCGCATGCAGAGCCACGCAGTACCTGGCAGGGTCTGGAGGTAATGCTGCAGATCGCCGCTAACAGATCTGACCACGCTGTCGCAGACCTGGGGAGGCAAAGGCAGTGGAGCTCAGCAATGTGGCTTCTGCTGGAGTGGGAGCCTTAGGCACACACTCTGCTCAGCTGCCCAGTGCCGTGCGTTCTTTGCAAAACTGGCTGAAATGAAAGAGTGCATAGCGATGTTTTCTTCAATTCCAGGTGACACATCCTTGTATTATTGGAGATACAGGCAAATTTATACCTGTAACCATCTGCCTAGAGCAGGATTCCCACCCAGGTGAGTTGCATCAAAGCTCTTGGAAGGAATCTCAACTGTGCCTTCCGACTTCCTGCAGTCCTACAGTCCCTGCAGGAGCGCATTGTGCTGAGCAACCACGACTGGGCAGAAGAAACTGCAAGAGTTCATCTGCCCCCGTGTGGGGCAGCCCTGCGCTGTCAGGGGAGGAGAGCAAAGCCCTCTGTAGCTGCCATCTGCAGGCAAAGCCTCAGCATTAGTGGGGTACTTAAAAGCATGCTGATCACTGGGCCAGGAATTTACTGCTGGAAACGGTCCTGTAGATGGCCAGGATCATCTGCACAGGCTCTTCCAGTGCCGTAATGGCACGGGAACCTCCATGCAGGATCAGGCCAACATCTGGCCTGCTGGCAGCAGGGTGAATAGAATAGAATATGGAGTATGGGATGGCAAGGGATGGCATGGGAGCACTGCCCAGCTCTGCAGAAAGGGCTGCTGGAGTTGGACCAGGCAGGGACAGGGCTGTGCAGGTCCATGCAGTGCTCCCAGCCCTCTCCTTCACCCCCCCTCACGTGCAGAGAAAGCCCCAAAGGATTCACCCCAATGTTTGGTGAAGGGGCTCAGCCACGCTGCCATGACAGCTTTCTGAGCCGCTCCTTCCAGGAGGCACTGCAGCATGGGAGCCCCCTGCACAGCCCCACAGCGCCCACTGCCAGCCCATCTGCTGCCACAGCTCTGGGTGCCCCCAGAGAGCCCAGCGTGGCATCAGCCAGAGCCAAGTGCCAGGGCCAGAGCCCGACCTGCAGTAGGGTGGGATTTGTCAGCTCTGCAGCTGCCTCCTTCCTGAGCAAGGTTCACGGCCAGGGAGGCTGCGGCTTGTGCCAGCGAGCCTTGTAGCAATTATTGCTAACAGCTTGTTTCCATGTTTTGTTGCAAGTCTCCAGCATACAGGCTTTCGTACGGGGCTGGAGGTACCGGGGCTTCCCTGGTGCCCCCCGTTTAAACAAGATTACAAGCAGCTGAAATGCAGAGATGAGAATTTCTACCCCATTGGTCCCAAACACATGAATGAGTGCAGGCCAATGAAGGGGCAGCTCTGAGCAGGTTTCCTCTGCTACACTGAGTTTGGCTGAAGCATAAGATCTAATTAACTGACCACATGGAAAGAAAAGTCTTTGTTAATTAGCAGCTGATTACACCGGGCTTTGGCAAATGCTGCAGGTTTAGAATCCAGCCTGAGCCACACGATGCTGCAGGGACCGTGGTTGGCATGTTCCTGCTCCTCAAAGCCTGCTTCCACCAACCCTGCAGCATGCTCTGGCTCTGGTTAAATCCGTGTGTGTGACCTGAGCCCTTGTAACATCTGCTGCAAGCAAGGGCTAAAGATGAGCAGGCAGCCTGGAGCTCACACATACCTTGCTCTCCAAGATTTTCTTGAACCTGGACTCGACAGCACTGTAGAAGAGGTTGTACAGCCAGCTGCAGAGAGGAGCGGAGTCAGAGGGTGCAGCCGAAGGGTTTGAGCAGAAAAGGGAGACCCTGGGGCTGCAGGATGCATGGGAATGTCATCCCCACAGCAATCTGGAGTTAAACACTGCCTCGGGGTTTACATTCACTACCAAAGCTGCTTGTAAAGAAGATGTAAACAAGTCTCGTGACTGCCTGGAAGCTTCACCCTTAACTGTGCAGCCACGGCAGGGCAAACTCAGAGCACATCTGAGCACATGCAGTTGCAATGTGCAGAATAGGAAGGAAGCACACTGCCAGCAGCACCGTGTGAGGGACAGCAGGTACCCATCTGACAGCCACCTTTCCCTCTCCACTGGCCTAAAGTGGGGTCTCTGGTCCTTTGCTGTGATGCTACGTACCCAAACTTGCCCGAGAAGTGGATGTCAACACTGGAGATGCGGGTGCTGCAGGCAGAAGTGCTCACAGTGGGCTTCCCTGAGGCATCGCTGCCCAGCTTCAGGTCGATCTTGATGTAGACGCTCTTCACCTCCAGGTTGAAGGATCCGTGGTCCCGGCTGCAGGGGAGGGGGGACAACAGGGGACAGCCTGCCTCCAGCTCTGCCTCATAGCGAGCATCTGGAGAGGACTGGGGAGGCTTTTAAATCCAGGGAAACCAACTTGCATGGCAATATAAGCTAGGCAAAGGCAGCCTTTCAACTGAAAGAACTAAAAGCAAACAGGGGGAACAGCAGAGAAGGAAGAGAACTCTGCCTTGTGATTCTGTGTGACCTAGTGGTGGGAACCTGCTTTGGCAGGGGGGTTGGACTTGATGATCTCTGGAGGTCCCTTCCAACCCTTACAATTCTGTGATTCTGTGATTCTTGCCCCACAGCAGCTTTCCCAGCAGCAGCACTCTGCCCAGCTGCATGCCCCAGTGTGGGGAGAGGCACCTGAAGGGCTCCCCACGGCCAGAGCTCACAGGCATTGGGATTAACGCAGTTGTAGCACAGCTGTGGGAATCAACAGGTTTGGAGGTAACAAAGCGAGAGCTGCCCAAAACACAAGGGCAAAAGAGAAGGGGAAAACCTGTCCAGATCCAGAGAGGGAAAGGCAGAGCGAAGGGCCTGAGCCAGGGGAAGGGCACCCACATGAAGTGAAACTTCACCCGCCAGTTCCCATCCACCTCGGCGAAGGCGTTGGAGATGGCGACGTGCAGCCCCACGCTGGGGACCAGGGAGATCCGAGAGTATGGCAGATGGAAACTGCGGAGGTTCAAGCTGAAAGGAAGCGTGAAACGAGAAGAGAAATAAAGGCACCTGAGTGGGATGCATGGCTGGGACAGTGTGGGCACTGTGCTAACAACAGCTCCGCTCCCTCCCTTACCCATGAGCAAAGCAGAGCCTTTGGGATCACAGTCCTTTCTTGTGCCCTTGCATTTGCCAGAGGTCACCGCTCGGGCTTCAATTGCCCACACCCACAGTGCCGCCTCCCAGGGAGCAAATAAGAGCATCTCTGCCTGCACCATGCTGTGGGTGCCATGGGAGAACCTCTGTGCCCTGCAACCCCTCCAGCCCCGTGTGGCTATGTGAGGGCTCACCTGGAGATCTCATAGCGCACCTTCCCCAGGTGTCGGACTGGAAAGTCACCTGAGATGTCTGGCAGCTTCAGCTTGGCCAGTTCCTTCTGCAGGACGGTAATCCCATGCTGGTGGGCTGTGGGGGACAGGGTCACAGCTATGTGCTATCCCAGGAAGCTAAGAGTATGCCCCAGGAGCACAGTGAAAGGCTTAAAAGGGAATGTTCGAGGAATGGCCTGGCTGCTCTGCACTGTGTGGCTGGAGCTGGAGCTGGCTGCAGCACAGAGCAAGTGTGGGTATTGCCCAGAATTGTGCAAGTCCTGGGGATGGTGCTGCCCAGGCAGCACGGTGGGGTGGGTGCCATAACTCTGCACCCATGTGGGCAGGGAGTCACGTCCCTTCCCATGCAGCTGGTAGACCTGCAGGGTCAATGAGCTGTGCACGCAGAGCATTTCAATACATAACAGCACACTGCTGGGACTGAGGCCCTGCCTGCCTCAGTAAACCCAGCACGGAGCCCATCCATCTCTGTCACCATGCTTCTGGCACCTCCCCACCTCCTCCCCCAGCTTGCTGCTGGGGCTTAGGGCTGCCTGAATGTGAGCCCCTGAGCCGGACCCCGAGCCCCACCAGCCCTACGCCTCATCAGTCGGGTGCCCTCCTCCCCCAGCACCCGTGTGCAGCCCCCTGGACTGCAGAGGGGACAGCAGTGTGGGCAGCCGGGTGCATCAGGGCAATGTCAGCACCCGGCTCTGCACCTCAGCCGCCAGCACCTGCAAGAGAGGAGGGAGATCAGGAGCCAAACCCACCATAGTCCAGGCCCGCCTGGGTGATCCTGACCACGAAGCCGGGGTTGGTGGCTGCAGTGAGCGCCAGGCACGCAGCCAGCACCGCTCCAAACGCCGCCAGGCTCCGTGCTGCCATCCCGGCTGCTGCCCGGCGCTCCCTGTCGGTGCGCCTTTATACCCGCGCCAAAGGGGAACCATGGGTGAGGCAGGATGCAGGGACGCGGCCGCAGCCCGAGGGGCCTCCCCGCAGCCCTGTGCTTCCTGCTCACCCGCTGCCCGCTCCCGCGTGGCCAGGGAATGGCTGCAAGGAGCAGGCAGCCTCTCCGCAGCACCCGCTGGGTTTGTGGGGCGCTGTTATGGCTCTCTGCTGTGCCCTGAGGACAGGAACCTGAGCTGCCCCGCTCCTGGGGCTGCCCAAGGGTCTCCCACCTTGGGCTGCCTGCAGCTCCCCCACCAGCACCAATGAGAGTGATGGAAGAAGCTTTAGGCTGCTTTCATTTCCCTTTCTGGAAGCAGCAGGACACGGCACAGGAAGTCCACAGGGGCTGATGTGGGCAGATCTTGTGCTGGATCCAGGGAAGTGCTCTGGTTGCCAGAGGCAACATCCCTGCATTGAGCGCTTGTGAAATGCAGCTCTTTCTCAAGCACTGTAGCCTGGTACGACCGTGCCACAGAGCAGCTCGAGCCACAGAGAGGCCTAGGACAGCTTTGCTGGAGCCCCTGGCACATGGAAATCAGCTCTCAGCTCCTGCTGTCCTTCCTCCCCACAGTTCTGGACAGAAGCATTTGCAGTGGACCAGTGCATGGTCAGGGCACACAATGCAGCCATCACATCCCCAGGCAGCCAGCTCAGTGCGTGCCCAGCCAGCTCTGCCCAGGATTGCAGGCAGGAGAAGAATCTTGCACCCAGGGCCACAGATCTGGGTCTGCTGCACTCTGGTCTGCTACACCCTGTGCTGTGCACCTCCAGGTCTGTTGCTGAGGCTGCATCATGAGCCCCAGAGCAGCAGCAGCTTTGGGACCAGAGCAGGCACACAGAGACAATGTGGGACTGGTGCTGACTGGGCCACCAGAGTGGAACAAACAGCTTGGGAAGAGCCATGCACCACGGAATGCCCACACACTGCCTGCACCCATCCCCAATCCACCCCGAGCCCATTGTGCCCCCAAAGCAGAGGAGAAGCTCAAAAGCCAAAGCCCCATTTCAGCTTTTTGCTGGCTCCTGCTCCCCAAAGCCCAAAGTTCGTGCTGCAGAACAGTTTCAAAACACCATTTCAGACACATACCAAGGAACCAGAACCTTTTCCATGAGGAGAAATGAAATTTCATAGGGAGCGACGTATTGAGGAAGCATAAGCACAAAGTTTTCCTTCTGGGCTTGAGCAACCTTTAAAGTTGAACTTAAAAAACCTTTCTCACCGCACAAAGCCTGACCAAACAGTCCCATGTTTGCCAAGGAACAGCTGAAAACACCTCTAACGCCAGCACCGAGCTGCACGGCTTCCTCCAGCCCCATGTGCTGCCCGTCACGTGGGGGCAGTTCCGGGTCCTTCTCGGGGCTCTTTCCACATCTCCTACATGGTGCAATGGCCAAAGCCATCCTGCAAGCATGGGGCACTGCGGGTCAGGCTGTGGATCTTCTCCACGGGTGCCACAACCGCAGTGGAAATTCCCTGAGGCTGGGCAGCACGTGCTGCTCGCAGGGCATCGCCGCTGCCCATGATCTGGCTTTGACTTGTGGCCGCAGAGCCGAGCTGTGGTCTGGCAAATGCTGCCATGGGGAAACACAAGGGAAAAACCCAGGGGCACTTGGTGAGAAAAGTGAGAGCACTGCAGCTGGTTCAAAGGGAACTTGGAACAGGTCCACAGCCAGGAAGAAAACTCTCTCTTTATCTGCTTCCAGGCAGCAAGCCCACTGCCAGAGAGGGCCACTGTGAGTCCCTAGAGAGCTGCAGGGATCTCACTCACATTTCTGCAAAATGCCATTGCCATCGGGGTGCTGGCAGTTGCATCATCAGGATGCCAGGAGCTGCACGATCGGCATGCTAGGAGCTGCCAGCCCAGTGCTGCTCACCCTCACCCTCTGCTCCCTGCCCTGGAACCCTTCGGTTTGGCAGCACCTGAGCACACAGCCAGGGTAGTGCAGGGCCCTGCACCACTGTTTTTCCAGCTGCAGGCTCAGTGTGACCCGGTCCCAGCTGTTCCTGGGAGCAGAACAGGCTCTGGGCCAGCATGGAGTCACCAGCTGACTCCAGCCCTGATGGCTGCATCAGAAACACACAGTCGGAAATGCTCAGGGACACCAGAGCCAAAAAAACAGGGGACCCACTGAGTGCAGCGAGGAATGTTGATCTGCAGAGGAGGACTATGGCTGTGGGGACACAGCTGCCAGCAGCAGGGCTCCCGGTGGGATCCCGGCCCCAGAAAGCCACCCCCATGCTGGGTTCCCCATCCCCACCCTCCCTGTGTCCCAGAGTCATGGTGACATCACAGGTTGCTGCAAAGCAGTCCTGCAGCCAGGGTGTCCCCCACCTGCTGAGAACTGTGCCCTCCACGGGGCACGTTGCCTTCTGACACCATGTCTGAGGGCCTCGGGTGGGGGACAGAAGGGGATCCAGAGAGCAGAAGCGGGTGAGTTTTCAGCAAAGTAAAAATAAAACTGCACAAATGGTGACCTCAGGCAGAGCCCAGGGGACTGAATGGTGGCTCTGTGCAGGCAGCAGGGCAGGGTGAGGGGCTGTACACAGCCTGTCCCACAGCTGCTCGGGGAAACGGGGCATGAAGAAAGGAAGAGGAGGGTGAGCTCATGGGGTCAGGAGCCACGGGGCACTGGGGGCCTCTGAGCTCGGCCCCGTGTGGGACAGCTCAGCCTCCAGCAACCCACTGTGCCCCCAGGTCTGGCTGCCTCAGGGCAGCGGGGGGGGGGCACAAGGTTGGGGGGAATGTAGGGCTGGATCCTATCCTGCTGAGCACAGCACTCTGATGGGAACGCAGCTCCCACCAGGCCTGCCATCACAGCATCATGCCCTCCTGCTCGCCTGTCCCCGTGCTGCAGGGGCACCCAGCCACCCCCCTCCTGCCTGAGGCCGCTGCAGCTTTCCAAAGGTTCTGGAGCCAAAGTGAGTTCTTGGGCTCACTTCAGAGGTAACCAGGCAATTAGAGACGGCCAGAGCATGAGCTCATACTCCCTCCTACCCTCGCACGCAGTGAAACTATAAAAAGGCTGAAGCAGAGTCTGTGAACCGGCACAATTAAAGGAGCAACTGGCAGCTGCTGGGGGAAGGGAGGAGCTGCCCGGTGGCCCCAGTACAGGAGGGTTCCTGGGGCTGCACTCAGCTGAGCGGAAGGCTGGTGGGGCAGCAGTCAGGCTGTGGGTCTGGAGCAGTGTAGGGCTGCAGTGCAGCTGTCCCACATGTGCTGTCCCACTCCGGGCTCCAAGCTGTGCCTGCAGACACGCTGTTGTTTCTGCAGCTCATGCACAGGGATGGAGCATCGCTGCCGAGCAGCAGCCCTCTGCCTTACGATGCACCAAACCTGCGGCTTTGGCTCGCGCACTGAGTGCTTTTGTACAACTTTTGGTCACTCAATCACACGTTGTGCCCTCAAACAGGTACTTTCCAGAGTTGAATCATCCCAGAAAGCCGTGAAAAACACTTTTCTTCTGCTCTACTTTTGAGCCAATCCAGGAAAGGAAGCCCCCGAGTTTTGAATACAAAACAGCGAGAAGTGTTTTGTATCAACACAGCGCGTGTTTATTTAGAAAGGGAAAATCCACCGCAGCTCGTCCGTGCCTGCGTGTACGAGCACACTCTCACAGTCGTGCATTTCTCCCCGCGTTGTTCCTCGCAGCCCGGGACGGGACGTGCTTTGGCCCCGGAGCCGCTCTGCGTGCGGGGACTCCGCGGGGCGGCGACGCAGAGCAGAGCGGGGCCGGGCGGTGCGGGGCGGTGCGGGACGGGGCGGCGGGGCCGCATCCTGTGCGGTCTGCCCGCACTCCTCGGGCCGGCAGCGCGCCAGCTCCTCCCGGGGCTGCGGGACGGCCCCACGCGGCCCCACAGCCGGAGCCTCGGCGTCCCTCCGCCAGCCCCTCCCCTCCTCCGCTCTCGCACTTTTTCTTCT